AGCTTAGTTTAAAATTATTTTGGTCAAATATATTGATGAAAATAGAAAAGCGTCAATTAACGTAATCATTAATTTGGTCAAATAATTTATTTAAATTATATTAACAATAAAATAATGAGTATTTTGATCATAAATTTTGACCGAATTAATTAAGTAATTTTTGAATTAATTTAGTTATTTTTTTTTATAAAGAATTTTGACCAAAATAATTGTCTCCTTTTTTCTATTTATAAATTGTGTTAGTATAACGCTTTCTTTATTAAACTTTTTTAATTTTTTATAAAACTATTTCAGATAAGATGCCTAATCAAAATACCAGTCTCTTTTTTTTTTTTTTTCAATAATTGTATTAGTATGGTGCTTTCTTTCTTAAATTTTTTTAATTTTCTATTAAACTATTTCAGATAAGATGTCTAACTAAAATAACTGTCTCTCTTTTTTAATTGTATTAGTATGGTGCTTTCTTTCCTAAATTTTTTAAATTTTCTATAAAACTATTTTGGACAAGATGTTTGATTAAAGTTATATTGTTTGGCTCCAAGAATTAAGTGAAAATTCTTGAATTTTTTGCCAAAATTATTCCGATAAAAATTCTTATCCTAAATTAAATGTTTTGGCTGCACAAATCAAGTGAAATATTTTGAATTTTCCACCAAAACTATTTCAATCAAAATTATTGTTTGAAATTAGATTTTTTTTTTTTTTTTGGGCTTTAAGGTCATATGAAATGTCTTGAATTTTCTACCAAAATTATTTTGGTCAAAATTCTTGATCAAAATAGTTTAAACTATCTAAAAACACTTCGAGCACTTCAAACTGTATTTTATCCATTTACTTCTTCTTTCTTTTTGCTTTTCCCTTCATTTCGCTTGCTGTAATCCTAGCTAGCTACCCTTCAATTCCTAAGATATAAAACTCATTTCATTTCCTTTATAAAAACGTGAATGAAGTTTTCAATATATATAAGCTGTTGTGCAGAATAAACAAGAGTAATATAGTGCAAAAAAATAAAAGAGAGGAAAGAGAATATCAAGCCGTGATTTATAGTGGTTCCTCCAACCTGGAGTACGTCCACTCCCCAAGCCTCCTTGCTTGAGAGTTCAATCCACTAGAAATCTCTTGCTTACGGGTGCAAGATTAAACCAGAACAAACTCTTGCTTCCGGGTGCAAGATTAAACCCTCACAAGTGAATCTCAATTCACTCAACCCCTTTAAGGATTATCCAAATCCAAAAAGAATACAAAGCCCTTGTAAGACAAGTAACCCAAAAGCTCACAAGAAGAGAAGAAGAAGGAGATCCAGAAAACTTTCAAAAACAAACCCTGTTTTTTTGTATTACTGGAGCAGTTCGTCCTTCTTCATACATCAGATCTGATTTTTGATGTCCTTTTAATAGTTGGTTGGGAGCCTTGCAATTAAAGCCCTTTTAGCCTTTCAAAGCCACCTCACAATTGCCCCAATTAGGTTCCACCTTATTCTTCTGACTTGTCTTGGAAAGTGCTAAGACATTTAGATACCCTATGACCTATTAAGAATAAACAGATAGTTGAGCTGTCAAAATTTAACCTTCTAGAATTTTTGCTTCGAAGCCAGCAATATTGGTTTGAATCATTTTCGAAAAAAAGAAGTTTGGGATTGGTTTGAACCAAATTAAATTGATTCGAACCCAGAACTCTGAACTAGGGGAACATGAATTAATTCTAATTGTGAGGAAAGATTAGAATTTTTGGATTAATTTTCCTGCACACTTAGCACAAAAATAGATTAAACTCTTTTGAATCATATTTTTAAATCATCATCAAAATACAAAGAGAACCTACCATTTGCCACACTCATCTTTTTCATCTTTCTCTTCCTTTTAATTACTTCCCCTCCTAATTTCTCTTTACTTCCATCATTTTCTTTCATTTCTTCCTTTTTCTCATCTTCTCTTTTCTTCACTTTCCCTTTTCTTTCCTTCATTCCCCTCATCCTCTCTTCCATTTTCTCACGTTCTCTTTTCCTCATTCATTCCTTCCTTTAATTTCTTTCATTTCTATATTCCTTTAATTTTAATCTTCTTACTTTATTTCTTTTACAATTTACAAGTTTGTTTCAATTATTTTTTATATCAATTTTATTTTTTGTAGGATTTTACAATAGAAATTAAAGGCATTTCAA